TAGGAAAAGCATATTAATTTAACAGTTTGACTATCCTATAAATATCAGCATGTGAAACAGTTGTTCTGTACCAGGAGTAGTTGTGTTGAACTTTTTAATGTCATTTACTTCAGTTTTTTTAAAAATGTGTTTATATAACTTTTAAGTGGGACTTTCTTTTATATACAAACTGAATTTTATGTACACTTTGCCTCCAGTACTCCAAATATGGTATATGTTTGGTTCAGAATTGCTATACCCATTCAATGTGGAGGATAACAGAAGATCTTATTTTGGGGAGAAGAAGAACTTTGCCCTTTGCAAGAATCAATAGACATTTTATTCTGTATACTGAAAAAATAAATGTTCTCTGTATTCATCTTTCTACATATAATCTTGGTTTAATTAATCTGTTATCTCTTATTCTTATTAATTCTCTCTTTCCAAATATACTTTTTTCAAGGAATGTTTAAAATTAAATTGCAGAGTCTCTAGACTCAGATCACTTTCTACTTACTTGAATAGGAAGATAACGGATATCACTCAGTTATCAGTAAAAACATAGGTGGGCTGTATATGCCAGTTTCGCACTTAATGTTAGCTAGAGTTTGAACATAGGCAATATACAAATATTCCATGACTTGGTACTGCACTGTAGATATACTTCTGCACTGTAGAAAAGTTTATTCAATCTGCTTTGTTTCACAGATGATGTATATACACCTGAGGATATTGCCAGACAAATTGGCGTGGATGTGGAAAAACCTTTGGAATATAGTGATACCTGGGAAAAGCCAATTTCTGGTAAGGTTAATAAAAGACGACAATTTAGCAAATTTTAACAGTTATGAAAAATAAAAACACTACCTTTCCTACACAAAAAGCACCTCCACTAAGAAAAGAAAATAATTCTTAGTCATCCTCATCAATACACCTTCTCTCAGCTTCAGGATGCTACTAAAAGAGATAAAAACAAGAATTTTTCATGGTCACTACTTAGTCACTAACATATGCCGTATATGAAAAATTACCACCACCAGTGTCGTATCGTAATGATCAAACAGCCACAATACTGTAAGCACTGATTTTTTTTCATACTAATAGTTTCCACATAGCAAGGGAGAATAAGGTGAATGCATAACCAAATTGTCCTCCCATTTATGAGAAAGTTTTGTTGAATATTAGGATTGTTGGGAAAATTAGAACATTAGGCTTGAAGCAAAATACCAATGTGGAATAAATAAGGTTACAGGTTTTTTCACGTGTGCTGTACCAGGCTTGTCAGTTTTACTTTTCTTGCAAGTCTTGCAATCATATTTTCAAAACAATCAAAATATTTTTACTGAAAAACAGCTTCCCCAAATAGGCCTTCAAAAATAGACTTTTTCTATTTTACTTTTTTCTAGTCAGCTTCTTAGAAATTTTCTGTTTCAAATGAAAAGTTGTAGCATAGAGTGTGTTTGTATGCCACATACATACATACAAAGATGTAAACACCCTTACATGTAGAGAATGTCTTTATTTCATAAGCATAACCAATAGAGCTTGTTTTAGCTGTGCTTTTTTACTGGCATAAAAACTGACTGAAAATAAAATCTTTTTGGTTTTACCCTTGGGTTTACTATTCAGCTGCAGCTGCTCTTTTTAGTTAGGTTTTCCTTTGAAAACATGTTATTAGATTTAAAAACACAGCTACAAAGATATGCCTCTAACTAATTTATAAACTGCTGTTTGCTCCTAATCCCTGCTGAATTTCCTTTGCACCTAATTTACCTGCACAAATACAAGAGCCTATCTTGACAGCTGAGTTCTGATGTTTTATCTTTTAAAGTTTATTCAATCTGAAGATTGTACATTGCAAAGATTAAGTCCGGCATGATATATTATTGGTAGAGTAAACTGAAAACAAGGATGGCGCTCTGCATTTTTTGTTACTGAATGCCAGGCAGTGGTGTGTACTTAAGTAAATCCAGCTTGTGATTTGCAGAGACTGGAAGTTTTTTATGCACATAGATTTGAAGGAATATCTACTTCTGCTTTTACTCATCTTATGACATTAGGCGTTTAAAGTCAAGCTTTTAGAGCTTTGAAGTAAGCCAATACCTTGAACTGTAGTCATACAAGACAGTTGCGTATGGTTGTGAAATTAGCTACTACTGTTCCATAATTTTCATGTATACTTCTGTGATCTCAGCTGTCCTCATGAGGCCTTAATATGTATATCAAAATTCAGAATTATAGAATCATAGAATCATAGAATGGTTTGGGTTGGAAGGAACCTTTAAAGATCAAATAGTTCCACTCCCTCTGCCGTGGGCAGGGACATCTTTCACTAGATCAGGTTGCTCAAAGCCCAATCCAACCTGGCCTTGAACACGTCCAGAGAGGGGGCACCCACAGCTTCTCTGGGCAACCTGTTTCAGTGTCTCACCACCCTAATAGTAAAGAATTTCTTCCTTGTATTTAATCTGAATCTACCCTCTTTTAGTTTAAAACTATTAGCTCTTGTCCTATCACTCCAGGCCCTGGTAAAAAGTCTGCCTCCATTTCTCTTATAAACCCCCTTTAAATACTGAATGTTGCAATAAGGTCTCCCCGGAGCCTTCTCTTCTCCAGGCTAAACAACCCCAACTCTCTCAGACTTTCTTCATAGGAGAGATGTTCCAGCCCTCTGATCGTTTTTGTGGCCCTCTTCTGGACCCGCTGTCGTGGTTTAACCCCAGTTGGCAACTGAGCACCACGCAGCCGTTCGCTCACTCCTCCCCAATGGGATGGGGGAGAGAATCAGAAGGGTAAAAGTGGGAAAACTCGTGGGTTGAGATAAAAACAGTTTAATAGGTAGAGCAAAAGTC